CTCAAATTTAAAATTTCAGCTTTTCATTTTGATTTTAAAAGGTATCTCATCAAGTTTAAAAAAATTCTGTTGAAGTATCAGGAATTTTTGTTTCAATAATTTTTCCTTGGTTACGTTTAAAATAAAATAACTTCTGTTTTTTTTTTAATTCAAAAAAATGTTTCTGAATTTGCTTACTTCTTTTTGCAATGTCATGAAACTTGGATAATGTAGATCTTAGTAATCTCGTTGATATTAATGTATTCATAATTGGTTTTAACAGTGCAAATGTCGCTTTGAATTAATCCAAAGGTAAATCCCCCATTATAATTCGTCGTTAATCCGAAATCACCCAATTTATAAAATTAATGGATGCATATGCATACCAGAATTTAATAGCCATTGATTTGCATAAAACGACAGTAAAACCTCTCCATTTTAATTCCGCGTTAAACAACAACGATTATACATTGTGGGTTCGAATATTTTCACAAAGGGTTTCGAGGTTTTAACAATTTTATATTCAATCGTTATATTCAGTTGTTACTATAGGGTATTTCCACGAAACCTTACTCCACCTTGACAAAAAATTAGATGTGTTATTTAACAAAATAACAACTATATTTGAAGTCAAATAGTTTCATTGCGACGTAATTTATAACCTTAAAATATTCGTACATTGTGATGCTAAGAAGCTAACATTAAGAATAAACACGGAATAGTTTCAATACTCGATAAAATGTTCCAATGTCGCACCCGTTACATTTTGAGAAAATTTTAGAAAATAAAGTTTATAATATTTGTGCATTTAAAATACGTGCTTGTTTAAGGTTACTATTCAAGTTTTACACAAAAAATTATTACTTTATGCTTTCATCCAAATTTTACAGTTTCCATACAAGTTTTTATTGACATTTTGTTTGAGTTAAATACATTATTTTTAATACTATTTCTTTAAATTAACGTATCTTGATATATATGAACAAACACTTTATTATCATGAAAAAAAGGATTTTTAGTGTCGCACCCGTTACAATGGAAATACCCTATAGTGATTTATTATATGGACTTAAAAATGATTTAGACAAATTGGGTTAGGTTTTTTACACCCTAGGACGTAAACAATTTTTATACCACTAAATTTTAGGATTAAAAAGTATAATTTTATTTTTATCTGTATTGTGGTCGAAAACCCCTATGGAAATTTAATTTTGTGTTTGTTTGGAGATATTTAAAAATAGTAGGAGATTTGTACGAAAGCGTACTGGGGTCACAAAATTATAATAAAATTATTATTTTCAATATATTGGATTTATTTCCAATATATTGAAAATAAATCCAATATATTGAAAATAAATCCAATATATTGAAAATAAATTCAATATATTGAAAATAAATCACATTTATTAATTTTTATTTAAGTAAATTCAAAACAAACCAAGAAAATGTGCTGTCAACTAAAATAAAATTTGACAGTAACGGTACCTGCATTACCGGCGGCGATAAAATGGAAATTAGCGCCCCTAGTAGTAAAAAAATAAAGCCAAATTTTCAATATATTGAATTTATTTTCAATATATTGGATTTATTTTCAATATATTGGATTTATTTTCAATTTATTGGATTTATTTTCAATATATTGGATTTATTTTCAATATATTGAATTTATTTTCAATATATTGAATTTATTTCCAATATATTGGAAATAAATCCAATATATTGAAAATAAATCCAATATATTGAAAAAAATAATTTTATTATAATTTTGTGACCCCAGTACGCTTTCGTAGATTTGTCTGTTGAAGGAAAGTTTAAATTTTATAGAAACATTTGTTTAATTAGAAAATTGGGTATTAAAAGATACATTTTGTGTCCACCGTATAAACTAGACCCATACTGTTCGTTGTTCGTCCGACAACAGTTCAGTTTGGTCGTTTGTTTTTATTAATTCGCGGCCTTTGAATGGAATGCTAAGGTCTCAAGGTAGTCTGGGTGAACAGTCGTTGCCCCGTAGCCGTAATTTACTACCATTTTTCATTTCACTCGACGAGTGCTTGAACTGCATTTCGCTGCATCATGGAATTGTACCCAAATAATAGGTGCATTTATCTATCGATTATAATAAATATAAATTTTATGATTTCCTTGCCTTTCTTGATATTCTAATGACAACATTGTGTTAATTACTGATTGCACCAGTAATTCAGATTCTGTTCAGATCTGTCAAGATAAATTCTTTTTGAGTATTAAATATCTAAAGAATCAAATTAAATATTTCGATTAAGAAATTAAAGTAAATAAGAATATGGGTAAACCTGTTATCACAGGATTGCTATACTGGTTTAAGTCGGTGGTTCGTTTTAGCCCCTAAAATCCATACAGTTAATTTTGTAGATAAAGTTTTGTTTAAAAACGTAAAAACAAACTATTAATTTTTGAATTTTTAATTCTGCTGTTATTTTAGATATTTTAAATAAAAATTTACAGATTTTCAGAATACCATCAATCAACGTTCCATGTTTGTTTTATTTGCGCACTAAGTACAGATATACAGATTTTACTGTGAATTTTTCTCGATAAGACTGTTATGTTGTAAATCTATATATTAAGAGGGTTGTAGATCATGTCAAGACAAGCTTTTTTGCCCAGGGGAGATGTTTTCTAATACACGGTTTTGAAAAAGTAATTTTTAAAGTATTATTTTTTAGTATCTTTGGCGTGTATTGGTAGGATTTAAAAATACATATTTTAGTTACAAAAGTTGTTGTATTGCTTCACCAGTGGCATCTCTGCACATTTTTTACAACAAAAAAATGGTACACCACTGACATTTTTTTTTAACAGCCTGATCAATTCTACATGAAAACAGCCTCTTAAGTTTTTCTTGATTAACTTTAAATTTTGCAATTTTATAAAATAAAACACCCTTTTATAAAATTGCCCAAGCCGTTTGAATTTTGAGCAGAATAGATTTAAATTATAATATTTGTTTATGTTTTTTATTAATGTTAAATATATTTCAATTTAATTAAAATTTAATATGCCATAAAATTTTGTCTAGATTAATTTACACAAATAATAATTAATTTACACAAATAATAATAATAACCATTTCTAAATGTTAATTATATGTATTACAACTTTTAAATAATTAATTGTGTACATTTTTTTTGCGTCCGTACTTAAATTATTTAAGATATAAATTTCAATAAACCCCTAGCTAATTTTACGTAAATTACCAAAGTAATTAAACTATTTTAATTGTTTGATAAATTCAGTAAAGCCTAGTTTTAGTTTTATTTTAAATGATTTTATTTATTATAGGACAATTTAAAATCAACTGGGCAGCATTTAATTTTAAATAATGTGGAATTGGAGTTTTTGTTTAAAAATCCATTTAAATGCAATGACGCGAATAAACTTGTTATGTTTTGCATTTTAATCTAAAAAATAACTGAACATGTTAAAATAGAGCAAATAAATAGTATGAAATTGGTTTATTTTATTTTTATTTTCAGTAAATGTAAAGGATTTAAATGTACGTAAATATTCTTTTTACATAATGAAAACTTTAAAGTTGTCATACAAAATTTGAATAGATTTTCTTGCCTAAACGTAAACCATGATTATACATAGCACTAGGCACGGTAATACTCAGCATGTTATCCTGAGCACCACTTAACAATATATGAAAAAAATTCCTTTTACGTTTATAACAAATTACAACTTGTATCACAGATTTGCTTACAGAATTTTTTGTTAAAATTAAGGTTATACTGACTTTGGAAGCCTTATACTCGATTGATGAATATAAATCGTGCAAAATAAACAACTTATAAAACTTTATAAAGTTCATAAGTTAGTTTATTGACAGTTATTTGATACTCCACTTTCATTATTTTAACCATGGAGCCTACACAAGGAGCCCGAACTTCATGTAAACAAGAATCTTCCTAAGATAAGAGGGCGCTGGTGTACTACCGGTCCAAAACAGTAGAGGGGTATAACCAGAGATGGCGCCACTACCTACCACTTATTATTGTGCAAATAATTGAGGTTATGCAACTGTCAGTTTATCACTTTCTGAAAACAATGTACCCATGTACCTGGTTCACTTCACAGATTATAAAGAATCACTTATATTTCACAACCAAAACCTTTTCATTAGCATCTACCTACCAGGTACAGCCATAAATAACAAAATGATTCGTACGTCAAAACATTATTGCAAATCAATTGTCAAAACTTACTTGCTTACTTCACATGTATTTTCGATACTATTTTCACGTCATTCGGACGCATTAACAAGCAGCGCCGCTGGTGGTGAAAAAAAAAGACTTAAATTGTGCAATTTAGTGGACAGGTTTTGTCAATTTTCCCTATTAAGTTCGGGCTCCTTGTGTAGGCTCCATGATTTTAACTTTAAACCTGGTGGCAATATTGGATTAATAAACATTCAGCGATTGCTGGTATACGAAAATTCCTATAATGAGATGGACATAATTAAACAAATAAAACATTATCATAATAAAAACATAATAATAAATGTATTCTAACCAGAAAATTAAAATCTTTAACCAGCTGAAAACCCATTTCCCTCGTTAAAAAAATAAATCCGTTGCGTATACCCTTTACTTAGAAGTAAAAATTTCCTAGATCTCGAACAGACACCGAACTGTTTCGGTCTTTCAGACCTCATTAGTGCCGTGTAGCCATGTGGTGTGAAAGCACACTCGAATAATACTGCGTCTGCTTATCAGGCGGCGAGATACAGCAAAAGTGGTGAAACGAAAGGTACTCAGCTCCATCTGCCGTCCAAAGAACGTGGCTAATATACTTATGCGTTTAGCAGAATTCTACACCATAACATACAGACAGAGCTACTCCACAAACGGCCTTACAGATGTATATAGATAAACCGTGACTAGAGGGTATACCAGTATTAAACATAATTTTACCATAAACAACCTGTTTAAACAACATTTTTACTAGTTTTTTTTCATACTATTTTTCTGTTTCAGATGTGGCTTCACAATTAATATTATAAGGTAATTATAAGTTTACTTTTTGTTTGTTAGTTATTCTTTAAGTTATTATCCGGTCCAAATTCTATCTCTAGGCAAAAAAAACTTTATTGCATACACTTTTAGTTTTATTTTTTATTATTATTTATTAATTTTAATTTATTTTTATAGTGTTTATATTTAATATTTATCAAGTTAAATCATTTTATATAAAATAATTAACAACATACATATATTATTAATTGAAATTGAAATATTTTTACAGTAAAACATATATTTTCTGCAGGAATAATTACAAAATTAATTGAGCCACCAATCAATAAAATTTGGCATTTAAAGGTTTAAAATGTTAAATGTAGCCTAAAGCCTATTAATTACGTTAAAACAATGTAAAATAAACATTCTTGTTTTTATCCAGATAAAAAACAATTTCAACTAAAAGGGACTTTATACTTTAAATAAATGTTGGTATTTATTTATGATAAAACCTCACTAAACAGAAATGACAGCAAGTGTCAAACAATTGTTTAAAACAGGGTTGCCGTTAGCTTATCAAAACTTCAAGGTTATTAAAGTTAATTTTTTTTATCTGGACTGCGGCAACGTTGCAAATTTAGGGTTTTGGTTGGTAAATACAGTTGTCAAGTTGGTCGCATTGATTAAAACAAACTAAGCTAGTTATAAATCTAATTGTGGTTATGTATAAATTATTGTTGTCAAGTTGAGTTGTAGAAATTCGTAGTTAAAAATGCAATTAATTTGGCTTTGGTGGTGCTTGGATGAGTAAAATCATATAATAAATTAGTTAAATATAGCTTTACGGCCCAGAAGAGAAAGTATTCCTAGCGGATAATAATATAAAAAAATAATATAATATAAAATAAATTAAAATTTTTTGTGAACGTAAATGTTGTCCAGTGTGAATAATGTGAAAATAATGTGTGATGTAATATTTATAAAACCAAATTCGTTACTTTTTTACTCCAAAAATGTCCATAAGGCGATGTAATTTTTCTTCCATTGTGGCATTTGGCATAATTTCATCAAAATGAAAGTTTTGCCCTCAAAAGGGCTTTTACATTCGAATTTGTTGCTATTATTTTTGGCATAATTATTTTTTTATTTATAATTAACAAGTAAATTATCAATAATAAATATTATTGTCAATTTGACAGTGTCAAAGTATTTAATTAAATTCTTTAGCAGAAGTACCATTTTTAAATACTAAAAATACTAAGTCAAACTGGCATAAGCCACCAACCTAACAAAAAAACAGTCCAGATAAAAAAATGAACTGTAAATTTTATCGAATAAATAAAGCTTAGGGTGTTCACTATTTCAAATTAATACTTAAAATGTCAATAACGTTGTATTTCTATTAAAAATTTAGGATTAATTAAAGTTTAGTTTATAAACCTTTTTAAAAGAATATATTAAAAGATTATAAAGAACCGATTTAAAAAGCTTTCATCTTATTTCGTTAGTAAAAACCCAATTTATCAGGAAAAATCACTTTTTATATTTCTAATAAGGTTTAACGTAAAAAAAGAAATTTTTAAATACACTAAAAAATTTCGTTCCAGAAATATATTTTTTTCAATATTTTATGTTTTAAATTTTTATTTATACATTACTATAACATTATTTATTCAATTATAAATTATTATAATATATATAATATATTATAATAAAAAAAACTACATTTATATTAGCACTTAAAATGGCATTATAAAATTGAAGTAAACTTATTTTTTTAATAAACGATATTTTTATAGTTGAATCAGGCAGTAAAAAAAGTTATTAAAGACATTTTATATTCTCGTACAAGCTTCAACTCAATTTTTTGCTTTTGTAAGCGTCATGAGTCCCTCAGTGGCTTTTCATAAAACTACAAAAATTTTATGGTATTTATGTCCTCCGTTTATACGTAAATGTCTAATATGAATATAAAGCAAAAGGTTCAATAGAATTTATTTTGACGATTTTAATCAGATTTACATATCGATCACTTTCTGCCAAGGTATCGCAAGCAACATAACTAAAATTTCAAGAATTTTAGTCTTTTTTATACTATATGTATTTAACCTATATATATATATAATTATAGTAACTACTGATAGTTATCAGTAAGTACAAGTTACTGACAGTAACTAGTACATTAAAGACCAGGCGGAGAAAGCACACATTATCAGTCGAACGAATTTTCTTTAAGGGCTATAAGGACTCTTTTATAGGAAATTAATGTAACAAGGATCTAAACCGTTCATTAAAAATTCATAATGTTTTCCAAAAAAAAAATTTCACTTTAATATCAGTGAAAAGATGTGTTAAATGTTCGATTATTGATATTAATCGCGTTATTTCAGTTTTTTAATGGTTCCAGGACAAAGCCTTAATTATGTTATACTGAGGACAAAAGAACAAAACGTCGGGTGATCAATCAGGGACTTAGAATGAGGACGCTTTGTCTCACTCGTCTTCTTTCTTAGCAGTAAGAGAGTTCTTAGCCTAGTTTTATTTATTCTTAGGAAACTTGACTTCAGTGTACAACATTTCCATATGACAAGCACTAGAACTAACAAGCAATAGAAAATTATGAAGATAGTACAAAATAACGGTGTAATTAACAAAAATTATAACCATAAAATGAGTAGGTAATAACAACAAATAAAGTTTGTTAACAAGGCTTTATTTAAGAATAAAACAAGACGATAAAATGCTATTTTATCGTCGCGTCGACCGAAAAGTATTGATTCGCGAGCAATGAAATCGCGAATAAATTAATTTTGGGAGACGATTATGAAATTTTTTCGTCGTGTATAATGCAATGTTTTTTCCAGTAAATAAGTTTTTCTACTCCCACCTTTAAAACGCCTATTATCGTACATGTTTCCATGACACTAAGTGACCTTTTAAATACACATTGACAAGTTGTGGCTTTATGGCGTTTTAGTCACGGGCTGAAGTTAGCAACAGGTTTTTAGTCACGGGCTAAAGTTAGTTTTAAGTTAGTTAACAGTTGTCAAATGTCATACAATCGTTAAAATAAAGTGCCTTTCTTGTAAAATAATACTAAATGTGAAAATTATTTTATTATCTTAATTCAAAAGTATTAAATAGTTTTTCAACGCCAATATTTGAAAAGTTTATATGAACATTGTACTGACCTTTTAATTTCGGCGGCAGTAAACTATAACTTAAATTTGGGCACGGACTCCATTGTAAAGTGCTCATAAAACATTTTCTTTACTTTCACTGTAAAAAACTGTCCATTTTCAAGGAATAAACTGTTTAAAATATCTGTGGTGTAAAAAGTAATCTTAAAATGGTGTCAAAATCCAACACCAAGTGGTTTTAATATAACACCATGAATTATGGTTGAAAATGTGTACCGATCGCGGCAAAGGGGGTGTGGATTACGTGATGTTCTTAAATCTCGCCTCTGTTGAAGAATATATAAACTCAGGTAGTCCTTTGCTTTGGTGTGACACTACAAGTTGTTCGATACTAAAGAGACCTTAAATAGGTGGAAACAGCTGTCAATACTTGAAGTATTTTAAGTTAGTGGAACGCACTAAAAACATTATCTCTAGCGAGTTGAAGGTTTCATTTTCTGGAATAATACCACTGGTAATATATAAGGCCCAGATTTTAGGTAAAACACCTTTTTATGGTTTTTTAGGTTTTAAAGATATTTTTTTGTATTTTCCCGTTTTATAAAAAATGGAGTCATCTGACTAAATTTTATTTGACCTAAAATACCTTTTTTATATTTTTTTCACCTATTTTCCTTTTTTGCACCTAAATTGTATTTTTAATACCTAAAATGAACTTTTTTTACCCGTCCTGTGACGTTGAACGATCATTCTCTTGGTTTAAAAATGGTTTGACTGATAAACGCACTAGCTTTACTTCTAAAAACTTTTTTTATTTATTTTGTCTGTCATGCATATAACCGTTAAATAAATTAATAACATTTATTTTTTTTTGATTTTAGAGTTCCTATTTTATTTTTTTTGTAATTTTAGAGTTCCTATCATGTTTTTTTGCTATTTTACATTATTTGTGATATATCATATATGATATATTTACTTTTTTAAAGAATCTTTTATTTTATTTGTTATTTTTCCAACCAAACATTTTTGTTCAGTTAAGGTTAATAATAAATATTATTTTAATAACAATTTCATTTTTAATTTAAATCCTTTATTGCCGGACATTAATAGAGCAACTATAATGTAACTAAAACTACATAAGACCTATGTATGGTTTTACAACGATATCGACATTATAATGAAAACATTTTATTTCAATAAATCAGCTTATTTTTTTTATTTAAGTACCTAATGGCACCTAAAATTATAACCTAATTTTATAACTATGTGACCTATTTTTTGCATTTTTTTTTACTTTTTTATAACCTAAAAATACGGGCCAACCAATATTAACTTTTTAATTAAGTAGGTACCTAAAATATAGGTACCTAAAATAATAACCTATTTTATTAAAAATATCACCTAATTTAGGAACCTTTTATCACTTTTTTATGACCTAAAAATCCGGGCCTTAGTAATATACTAGTAATGCGTCAAGGAACTTCCTGTTTCCTTTTTTTCCTTTTTTTCTGTGTAGTATGATTTAATTTGACCACAAACACATAATATTTAACACTGAAAAGGAGTTCAATTTACACCAGGTAAAATTTATTTTAATAATGTGTGAAAGTTAAATTAACACCATTTTAGTATTTGAATTTACACCGGCCAACGAACCATATTTAACACCATTTTGGTTTGTATCGATATAGACCATGTATGGTGTTAATTTGGTGTTAAAATGGTCATGAAATTTTGAACAGTGTACATTTCGATTTATAACCTTTATAATCTGAGTTTATAAAATATAAAAATTTTACATTTGACGGTGACACACAGATATACAAATATTTGATTTAAATCATTTTAAGATAATGATAAGTATTTGTCGTAGAAAAAGTATACCTAGTATGCACCTCGTTTATAAAC